CCGTGGGACGTGACATGTGACTGAACTGCGCCGAGACCGTAAGCCGACACGTCGCATACCAGCTGCAGCGGTGCGTTAAGGTCGTAGTGGACTTAGACTGGGGAAGTCGACAGGTCCGACTTGATCTTGTGGTTTTCAGCTCAATCTGTGCTCAACGTGACTGCAAACGATCCTGTTAGTATTGTAGACATTTAGCGAACGGTCTACGAAAAGCTTGTACTTTGCCCTAAGTACGTGAAAACTGGTCGCACAAAGGTATGTCGAGCAATAGACATTGGGAATGGGTTCGCGTTATCAGGTCGTTAAAAGGAACACGGCCATTTGCTCTAAGTCCTTTTAAAAGACAGATTACGCCTACTTGCTTTCAGGTAATTACAAAAGCAAATAAATAAATGTTCGAAGCATCTCAAGAAGGCTTGTGTTAGCCAGCCGTTCGTGACGAGCGTAGAATAAGTAGTTTTGGAGAGGCGGGTCGCAACGTTGCATATAATACGGTACACGATTGGACGGTATATTAAAATATTTCTTATCGATAGAGAAATGAGTAAATCCCGTAGACATGCAGATCACGTTAATAGTCAGTTTTAGCATAGCGTTACAGCAGGCTACCGTGAGCACTGCAACGCTCCTAGCGCGCTCTCAAAATTATGCTTCAAAGGCGCAGCGTGAATTTCCGGTTTCAATGCTGCACGTAGGGTAGCCTGCAATCACGTGGTTCTAAAATTGTAAATCAATAACCATAGCGCAGTTTGATAGCGTGTGGGAATACACTAAAACCGCGATGGTGAGCAGAAAGTTGTGAGCCTGTGACAAGAAGACATCAATACTGTTAACGCTGCTCTTTCGAAGCTTGACGGTCACCGTGCGTGGCTCACTTTTTAGAGCTCTAATAGCCAGGCACAGCGCAAACACCTGATCTTCTTCTTCACCCTCAAAAATATTTTGCCGCCAACAGTGACGTGGCCTGTGCCCAAAACGCGCTCGCTCTCAACAAGGCTTCGCAAGTTGAAGTTTCCGCAAATTTTAAATATCAACATGTTCGTTTTCCTAACGCATATTAATGTCTCCGTCACCTGTAATATGTTCCTGCTTTGACCGCTTGGAATTTGTAGATACATAAATTATTTTTTGGGCACTGACAAGCTTCAGCAATCAGTCGCACGGGAAGTCGTGGAGAATCTATCCCCGTCTCCTCCGCCATCTTGAAACTACCGCCCCGCCAACTATAGGGCGTTGGAGTTGCGAATAGCCGGCTAAAGCACATTGAAATGTAAGAGCCTATATATAGGCTCCTAGTTTTATGCTTTATGCCACCAAAGCTAGCTTTGGTGGCGTAAAGCACTATTTATACGGATAAAACAATTCAATGGTCGCGAGTCTATAGATTTAGGGACAAACACCACTCTATAGCCGTCTAAAGCACACTGAATAGACTCGGATCTATAGCATTAAGCACAAAATATTTTTTATAGCTCACTAAAGGAAATTGAATAGTCCCGTGTCCATAGCTTCATATGCAAATATTATTCTATAGCCAGCTATAGAAATCTGAAAAATCAAGATTTTATAGCTTTGAAGACATAGATTATTCTGTAGTTGGCTTGGCGTGTTTTGTGATTTCTTATGGCCGACCATAAAAAGCCAAATAAGGTGATAACTCACCAAAGGATTTTCCATAGATGTCCATAGATATTTTTCGAATGGGTAGCACTGAAATAAGCGGGCCTTGTGGAGCGAACGGCGGCGTAGCACCCGCTCTGGCAAGTTTCTTTCGCGTTTCCTACACAATGGTTGGCGATCGAAACATGAAAACGTGAATTTTATCACGAGACTTCTGCTCTCAATAAAGCCCCTTCATGTATTTGCGTTTGTCTTGCAAGTATCCTCAAGTACGCTTGTGCACAAGGCCCGTGTCTCAAACAGCCCTTGGAAGCAAGTGACGGCGTAGCATTGAAATGAGCGGCCCTTGGAAGCGAATGGCGGCGTAGCACCCGCTTCTGGCACGTATCTTGCTCGTTTCCACCAAAATGGTTGGTGATACTTGAAAGCGTGAATTGTATCACGCGAGTTCACCTCCAAATAAAGCCCCTCGATGCGCCAATGCATGAGGCTCGTGTCTCGAGCGGCCCTTGCAAGTGAATGGCGGCGAAGCACCCGGCTCGTATTGTGCGTTTCCACAGCAATGGTTGGCGGTACTTGTAAGCGTAAACTTCATCAAGAACCTTTAGCTCCCAAGCTCGGACAGCGCGACTGGCTAGCGAAATCTATTATATCTCAAGTTGAAGCTTGGGTGAGTTGGTACGCATATACTAGATAATTAAAGCAGCTTAAAACGAGAGGCCGGATGAAAAAAAGACAGACACAGCATTCTGTGGGTCCAGATTTCTGTCCGTGTCTTCAGATATGGGGCGCCGCAGGCCTACAAGTTCAATGTATGGACGACTTGCCTTTCTGCGGCGCCAAGGCTGTCCTTAGCTAAAATAAATATATCATATACAGGGTGTTTTTTTTTTAGATGCACCAAACATTAAATAAAGGGGGGGGGGGGGGGAATTATATGAATGCGTTCCTGTACAGGAGTGCAATATTGCAAGAGTACAATATAATTGCACTCCTGTACAGGAAAGCAATAATTGTCTGCCGGATTGGGGGTCTACTGTTGTATTGAGCAAAGAAAAATATTGTGCAAAAAGGGTTTGGAAAGAGACAATTAGAATCACGACTGCAGGAAACTGTATCAGTCAGCCGTCAATCGCATTAGACGAAGCGACCCGAATATTTTTGCTGCTGTAATTTTTTTTGTCGGCTTTATCTGTTTTAATGTGGAGTTCTTGTACATGATACGAGATGCGAGTTAGGCCTTGGAGCTTGTGTGAAGGTGTTGTGCGTTGCCACAACACCTTCATTGCCACAACCTCTTCATTGCCACAACCCCTTGGGGGTTGTGGCAATGAAGAGAGTTCGAAAGTGTGAACTGTTATCAGACTAGACGAAGCGACCGAAAAGTCTTTGATGCTGTTATCCCTTTCTTTAGTTTCAGTGTGGGCCCTGTGTACCAGATGCCAGTTAGGCTATCTCGAGTGTGAAGGTGTGGTCCGTTGGGTCCGATTTTAGGGGTGTGACAATGGGGCTTTGTATTGCAATGCTTTGTACGAACTAAGTGCGGTGGTTAGAGAAAAAAAAGGAGAAAAAAAAGTCAAGACGAGATATACCCTGCCTACAAGTTCCAATAACGTCGGCACTTCCGGAAGACGTGTGGGAGAGATGCTATATAAACGACTGTTCAAATAAAGTTTAGTAGCTGCGTTTCAGATGTTTTCTGTGTTGTCCCCTTCTTCGTCCGTCGTCTACGGTTTTCAAAAATGTGTAACATCAACCAGCTCGCCTGCTTTCTTACTTTATCTTCAAAGGAGTGACGAGTTGACTGAAACTACCAACTTACCCTTCCAAGCGTCATTGGTGCAGCGCTTGCAACGCTCTTTTTTATGGCTTTTCTATAATTGGGGAGAACGAAATGCGCAATGTGTCGATTGCGATCTAAAAAAAAAAATACATTACACTTTCAAAAACGCTTGAATTTAGTCCATCCTTGTATAGTAAATGTCGCGAATATTGAATTCATCACGACCGATAATACCAACAATTAAAAAGGTAAACGACATATTCTAGTTAGTTATTTAAACTTAGCATGACGATAGTGCCTTATTTAATGTCTGCCGAGCTTTATAAATACGTGGTGAAGACGGCATTCGCCTAACTCACAGACCCGGTTGCCGCTTACCATAATGACGCCATTGAACAATATTATAGTTTGAATTTCTACTACCATCGTCCAATAATCAATCGCGTGGGCCCATCGATAGGTTTCGTTTCCGAATATCCAAGGCAACAAGGCAGAAGGTAGGGTGAGTTGGTTGATAATTTTACACTGTGAAACAGCGTAAAAAAAAAAAAAACGAGACACAAGAAACAAGGAAGGTACAAACACAACGCAAACTTTCAACTGAAGGTTTATTCTAGGGAACTAGAAAATACACGAAGGAGGGAGAGAAAAATGTTAGGTTTAGAAAACCTTCACTTGAAAGTCAAGGCCGTGTAACTGCCTTTCAAATGTCTCTTGTGCCTATTTTGAGCGCTTTTACCCTGTAAGATCAAGTATAGCTCGCGATTGGATCTGCATTTTTTTCGATTGCCGGTGCGATGATTCAATACGCTTTTGTTGTCCTGACATTCGCTTTGTTTCGTTTCTTTTGTATTGTTCAAAAGTATAGGTTAACGCCATCCTTAAACATATGTGTGCTAGTTTTTCAAATGATTTTGTGTCTAACAAATGAATGGATTCATTTTCCTATTTGACTTGCATTTCACTGAATCACAAAAATAAATATGCTACATTCGATGTTTGCGTGTTATTTCACTAGACTCGTGCGGCACATAGACGCTGTGGCGCTTAAACCTTGCTGTCGTGTCGTTAACAGACCCTACCCATTTTTATATTTTTTTTTTTATTTTTAGTTTGCCGTCGTGATTAGATAAGTTTGTGTTTTTCATATAAACTAGGGCTGACATAAATATTACATGATAATATTTTTGTAGATTTTTTCTGATTTATCTGAGAACCCTGAACCCTAGCTCTAAACAATGGTCACATCATGTGTGACTAATTTATGTGTTCTTCCAACAACGGCACTTTTACTCGCTAAAAAACAGTTTAGTGCATAACGTTTTTTTTTCTTTTCTAATGATAAAGTGTCCCTTATTAACGGTATGAATGTTGTGCTCAATTAACGTCTTTTATGTTTCGCGTGAAGACAAAAAGTTGCTCTAATCGCCTGCCTCCATTCCGAAAGCTGAATGGATTTATCGCAGTGCCACATGCTCTCACACTGTGGAAAACAAGATGACATCAGACTTTTTCACGCCATTTAAATAGCGGTGCAAACCAAAGAGATTCCGTTCTCAACAGGAGAAAGACAATTTGCCTATCAACCGCTGCAAAGATGCGCCTTCTTCTTCTTACCATCCCTACAATTTTAAACGTAAGATGCATCAGCGCAAGTAAGGAGTTTCCAGAAGTGAATCCGATGCTCGGCCCGTGGCAAGATCTAAATATGGTATGTTAATCAGTTTTGCAGTTTTTGGCTTCAGGTAAAACGAGGTATTTTTTAATATATTTTTTTTTCAGACGAATAAAACCTCGAATTCAGTATTTCACTATATATTCATACTCGCCAGTCTCTGCATCTCTTGCTTGAAAGTGTTAGCGAATCCTAATTCTAAATATATTTCATTCATCCGACTGCTTCTAATATTCCCAGTATTTGTCTAGGTAGGTTGACAGCCATATTCCTAACGAGAACCTGGGGTTGATAAGCAAGCATAATTCTACATTCTACTTCTTTTCTTTGGCTGACATATAAATTTGAAAAGCAGACTTTTAAGCGGACATTATATTTCCTTTAATTTCTACGTGACGGCGCTATGGGTCCAGTTCAGTCATTGTTAGAATTAAGTATTTGATTAAATATTATATTCAGCACAGCTAGTTTCACAAATCTTAATCTAAACGGGAAATAAAGGCGGGCCTTCAAAAACATCAGTATCTCCAGATTTAATTAAGGAATCAAACTGGGCTCCTCCACCGTGGCATAGAGAACCTAGGTAGTAGAGAGGGATTTCTGAAACTTTGGAGAGCTTTTGCAATTTAATGGCGGAGGCCTCGCACCCCGGTTGGTCGCAAGTGCGTATGTGCTGCGTTTTTACGTGGCGAGAAGAAAAGCAGGTGAAAAGGTACGGACGCTCGCAGACGATCAACGCTTCCGTCATTTCCTTGCAGTCTGTATTGCAAACGCGGCCCATTAACCACGTGCAAAGGATCGAGAAGTTGGTCACCCTCCGTAATTCAGGCTCTCTACCGTGGTAGCGAAAAGTTAGCGACACAAGGCGTTGCGACAGATTAGAGAACTAGGTCGGGCTCGAAAGTAAAACCTACACAGAGTTGCCAGATGGCAATGCCGGCGCCGATCGCAAGCCGCGGATGCTGCATCACTCCCCGCCCTCTTTCCCTCTTTCCACCTTCCCTTTATCCCGCGTAATCGATATTATGGCCATTCGTTACTCTGACTCCGCTGCTTCAATTTCGATTTTTAAAGATCGCTTATTTCAGCTCGGCACATTTGAATACAGCCTGTGTGCTAAGCAGCTATCTTAGAAAAACGCAGAACCCGGCAGACAATTTCACGGCATTATATCAAACAACATAAGTATCAGCCAAATTTTTATTTTTATTTCCAAATGAAAAAAACAGGTAATTCGCCGACATCGGCCAATTACCACATTTTTCAGGCGCTTGTTCATGAGACGTCCACGGCTGGATTGAGGACATGTACCTTGATAAAGTCTGCCGTGCGTTGGAGAGATGAAGTTCTTTCGATAAGTAGATAATTGCAACATTCTGCACCTATGTAAAAGAAACAAAGGCTATCTTGTATATGCGTTATATCATTCTGCAGATATGTAGAAGAAACAGGCTATGTTGCATATGCGTTGCATCATTCTGCAAATATGTGCAAGAAACAAAGACTACGTTGCATATGCGGTTGCTTTGACACGTTTAACACACTTTCACGTTTAGCTATGCTAAGTTGCGAATTCTTCGGGGAGGTAAACACACAAAAGTCATCGAATACAGTCTTTATAACAAAGAAGTCTAGTAGTTTGAAGCTATGAATTTTCGTGGGCAACTTTATTTGTGCCTCTTTCTCTGAGTTCAAACTAAGTGTATTTACATAGAGGTAACTGCCACAGATGGCAGCGAGAACTCACCTGCAGTAATGGAAATGCAGGGCGACAGTCTTCCGCAACTTTCCGATTGCCGCATCCCTAAAGGTGTGTGCTTGGAGTAAAAACCAAAAGGTTGGTTGAACCTTACATACCCCTAGCAATCTGGCAACCTCGTAGAAAACACGGACGGCGAAAAAGATTCCCCCGTACTGATCTGTCAGCATCGCCATCTTCGCGCCGGCTCTTTCAGCGGATTAGAGCCAAACGCGCAGCGCCAGCGAGAATACGGAGTGTTAGCGAGTCGTATCAACACGAAAGTTTCGTTCTCTAACGCTTCGCTGACGTCACTACGCATACGCGCGCGAGCCTTTGGGTTTTTTTTTTTAAGTTTCTTCTCATTCGTTTTTCCCACTCCCTACGCTGGAATCGCCATCCAAACGCAGCCAGCAGCGTTCACGATTCGGGTAATAAAAGATGGCGGTTTGGTTGGCGACCCACCCAGCCGAGCGTTAGGCTTCGCACAGCTGGAGGCAATTTGCCATCCTGTTACTCTGCTTTATTTGAGAGGTTGAACCAAATCATTATGAGGACTGCTCACAATGGTAAGCGATTGTGAATTCTGTAAACTCCGCATGCTAGTAAAATTTTTCGCGGGCTGAGTAGCTGCCGTGGCGACCGCGAGCAGACGAGACAATTTGGTTCGACAGCACACAATATGAGCGATCGTTGTGAAGTTCAAGACGCCGGAGACACACCAGCTACCTCTGCGATAAATCAGACACTTTTTACTTATGTAGCTTTCCGGGTCTTTAAATTCCAACCGGTAAATGTTACGTCGGCTGTCTTGTTTATTTCAGTCCTACACCGGAAAAACGAGCCGCCACGTATCTGCACGCTGCAGAATGGTTCACGTGCTTACTAGAAGATTGCGCTGCCGGACAAACGCAATCATCATCATCGTTTACATGGTTACGACTGTTTTACGATTCGCTAAAATACGTTAATTTCACGTATGGTTTTACAAAACGGACCAGCTACGCCGTTCAGGGTTTCGGAACTGTGCGCTCCAAAAACGACTCTCTGAAACTCCCTATTAGGGATAACATTGTTGCGGCAAGCTGCATCCACGGATCGAAACTCAAGCGCTGGCGCCGCGGGTTCCGCAATTACGTCGGGTGAGGGACCTTTCGATTGACCCAGGCACAAGGTGAACGTCGACCATATGGTGAAGGAGGTGGTCTATTACGGCAGCGCGATAAAATGTATCAGTCAGGTCTTGGACCAGGTACAGGGTGTAACGCAGCAATGCGTGTATAATTCTCCTTTTCTTTCTTGTTTCGGAAGAAATTCAGTGGGGTCATTTATTGGGCAGCCCCGGCACGCCCCCGTACATGTATATTTTCGAATTCTTTATTTAATTATCTTATCATAAGAACGAACTAAGTCTGAAAGTGTTACAAACGGCCATTTACAGAAGATACGTCTATATTTGATTTCGGAGATATTGCGAAATCTACATCTAGTTCAAAACCGGAGGTGGTTGGGGGTTATTTCCACACTTGCGCCACCACATTTTAACAAACGCGACAAAGAGCGAGTAGATAATGCCATTTTGCATGTGGCGCCTCACTTTGGTGAACCTAGGTACTTAGGAGCTGCAATCGGCTCGGAAAACTACGCTATGCAGGGTGTGCTGGCCACTCCCGGCCGCCATGACCGGGGGATGAAAACACTTCCGGCTTTCCTAGGGTTACATTGTATTTGGGTGGGTGCGGGACGACTGTTGGTTCAAGCACTACCGTGATGGTTACGTCCTCGAATTGCCCCAGTGTCGTGCTTTGAAGTTGCCGATGATCACCGGCATGAACAAAATGTTACGAGTGAAGTTCTTTCGATTATCTCGAGACGAAAAAAATGAAAGACGTTTACAACACCCTGTAATGCCGAATTAGAGCGCAGTTCTTGAGAAGGAGGAGGGAAGGGTACAGAGGGGAGGGTATATCACTCCTTCCTGCTCTTCACCTCACCCTCCCTGCTACTCTTTTTCCGCTCCCTTCTCCTTCCTCCCCTCCCCCTCCTCCTCCCTTATTTCCTTCTCCCCCTCCTGCCCCTCCCCTCCCCCTCTTCCTCCCCCTTTTTCTCCTTGCCCTCCCCCTCCTCCTCCTCCTCCTTTTCCACCCTCCCCTCCCTTCCTCTGCCTCCCCTCCCCCTCCCCTCTCCCTCGTCATCCCTCCGCCTCCTCCCCGCGCGTTGCATCATAGGAAATGTCCCATAATGCACCGAGCGGAACCCTTGTGACGTCACGTGTGACGTCACGAGTCCCGCGCGTTGCATTATGAGACATTTCCCATAACGCACCGCACGTTTACGCCGACGGCGACGGCAACAGCGACGCCGACACCGACGTCGACGCCGCTCAAGCCGGAAACGGGCGTAAGTACTGCGCTCTAAAACGCCCCTGACGCCGCCGAGCCTGGGTGATCGCAGGACGATGGCATTGGCAGACAGTGCTATACTCGGCGGCAACTTTTCTTGGCGAGGCAGTGGAGGGTACAGGCACGTGTTTTCTATCCAATTTTGAGCGCTGGATAAGGCTGTGCGTGGGCTATCTTCAACTTTCTCTGCATTGCCAAGAAAAGTTGTCGCCGAGTATAGCTACTTTGATGTGTCGACGACATTTGGTGCGACGCGACAAGCGCGAAAACGGGGCGCTTAGACTGACCCATTTCCGTACAACGATGGGCCTTTGCGGCACGTGGAAATGGAATGTGCACAGTGATCTGGGAAAAAAAACTTTAATGCCAAAGCAAGCAAACCAAAACCCTAGAAAATTGTGCACTACGGAGACTCGCATCACGCCAAGGGAAGCATAATAAAAGAAAAAGTTTCCTAAGATAGACTACAAAAAACCCAGACTCAGTTCGGCGAACGCTGGGGCGGTTTGTTCATCTCGCGGCCGCGGCCGCGGGTGCGGCCATGAGGGATTTTTATATCACGTTACGAGCTCTATGGGGGCATGAAAGTACGTAGCGTCCCCGCCTGATGGCAAAGAAATCCGTGCCGCTTCGAGAAAAAAAAATTATTTCGCTCGCAGAAACTGACCGCAGAGGATATCAACTGGAGTCCGATTAACCGCCTCTTTATTCTTTAGAAGTGGCAGGTAATGTTGCGGCCAGGGAATTTATAAATTTATGTGTTTTGTATGCTTATTTTTTGGAAGATTTTATTTTTTTAATGGACACAACTGCAGTGTATTAGTACTAAAAGGCGCCTTTTACTACTGAAAAGAGTTGTACCAAGCGCGTTGTATATTAAAAAAAATGAAAGACGT